CTCTAGAGGCTGCGCCACCAGCGCGGCGGTGATGGGTCGGCCGAGATCCCCGCTCGCACCCGCCACAGCTGGCTGTGGTCACCGCCGCATAGGCAGTGGCGCAGGTGGCTTTGCCTTTGGATCCGCCGCCGCCCCGAGGCCACGTCTAGCGGTGGAGGGTCGTCGGAGGAAGGCAGGCCCCCGGGGTGCCCTGGACGCGTGCTTGAACATCCCAGTGGGCAGGTCAACCGCGACAGGCGCGCGCCGCAGTCGTCGCACATCGTTGCGAAGGCTGGCCATTATCCTACCCTGTGGGGCGATTGTTTGCCAGACTCTGCTTGTCGGGCCGCTTTCTTGGAGGGGGGTCGCGCGGTCGCGCGCTACTTCGGCTTTGGCTTTGAGCCTGGCGTCTCGCCGCGCCTGCCAGCGCGCCCCAGAGGGCGCCCCCCTCTTCGCGGCGAAGCCCAGTCCCGAGGCGTGGCTTGGGACAGCGAGGGCAGGCATACAGGGCCCTCGGGGAGACCCGCGGGCACCCCTTGGGGCGGGCGTCGGCAAACGGCGCGCCGTTGAAAAAATATGGGCTCTCTCGCGCAGGCGGGTTGGATGTCGGCGCCCGCTGCGAGCGCGGCTGCCGCGGGGGGGCTGGCGGATCGAGCTCTTGCGCAGTTGCCGCCAGGGCGGCTCCCGACGCGGAGGTTTGGTCATCGATCGGCGGACTCGGGCGTCGGCAGCGGCGGCAAGGTTGAGGTCCGCGCCCTCCGTTGCTGGTGCAGCGTTGATGTAGCTCCCCACATGCTTCACCTGGCGGTGAGCCTTGAGGTTTTGCCCGCTGCAGGCGGTGGAGCTCCTCCCCAACGGCAGCCCCCATTTTCTCTGGGTGGGTTCTTTGGTCCGACAGGCGGTCAGACAGGACGGCTTCGACAAGCGATGTTTCCGGCTCCCTGGCAGCGGGGGCCTCGGAATTGCTGCCATCTACAAATGTAGCGCAGAGGGGTCGCCGCATGCGTTGGCGCCGTTGTTCTGCCCATCCGCGCATCTGCAGTCTGGCGTCGTCGAGCGAGATGGAGCTGCCTTGGAGGTGGCCGTCGGCGCTCCTCCCAATCGGAAGCGTCGTAGGTGGCTGGCGTAAATATAGCTTTATTTGGACAATGTTTTGCGGGCACCCCGCGCGCGGTGCAACTTCGGGGCAGATGGCCGCAGCGAGGTAGTCGAAGTATTTTTGCGCGTCCAGCAGCAACACCTCGAGCGGCGCCTCTCGGTGTCGGGCGCGCTCCTCTTGCGCGGCTTGCGCGATGCCGACGTCGCTGGCGGCGGCGCGCGGGGCCGGCCCGACCGAAGTTTGCATGGGCGAGTCCAGCGCGCCCTCCACGACGCCCGGCCGCGGTGGGCAGGCGCCCCCAGCGCGCGTTCACACGGACGCGACATAGAGCAGGCACTGGCCCGTCTGAAGCCACCCTTGCCCCTTTCGGAGACATGGCTTCGGCGCATGGAGGCGCGGTTCTGGCGCCCCCCGTGTTCGCGGCATATTTCGCCGAGTTCTGGCGAACAGTCGAAAGACCCTGTTTGGGGGCGTCTTGGCTTCCCTTGCGGGCCAACCGCCCACGCCGCCCGCCCTGGCAGCGGGTTGGGCGCGGATGAAATTGTTCACGCTTCGCGAATCCCCACCAGCCCATCCTAAAACAGCCACTTTAGCAAAGTGTACCGACTGTCGGGATTTGTTGGTCATCTGTTCAGCAATGATGCCCAGAGGAGTTGCTTTGATTCGATCAGGGAAGCGTGGGAGCATACAGAGAAACGAAGGACAGGGGATGCCGCCATATCCCAAGAGGGGAGGATGGAGGATGAATCGGAGGAGGAGGTGGGGGAGGGGAGGAGGGAGGAGGAAGAGGGGGAGGCGGACGAGGAGGGGAGGACGAGCAGAAGGGCCAGAGGCCTCTTGGATGCATCGCGGAGTCTCTTGGGATGTCTTTTGGGAGCCTCTTGGAGGCCTTTTGGGGCGTCTTGGGGGCCTCTTGGCGGCCCCAGGGGCTTCTAGGAGCGTCTTGGGTGCCTTGGGGGAGCCTCTTCGGGCCTCTTGGGAGCCTCTTGGAGGCCGTTTGGGGCGTCTTGGGGGCCTCTTGGCGGCTCCAGGGGCTTCCAGGAGCGTCTTGGGTGCCTCGGGGGAGCCTCTTGGGGCCTCTTGGGGGCCTCTTGGGGGCATCTTGGGGGCCTCTTGGAGGCCTCTTGGGGCCTCTTGGGGCTCTTTGGGAGGGGTCTGGGAGGAATCTTGGGGCCATCTGTCGGGCGATCGATCACAGATGGGGGGAGCACTTTTCTCCCCCCCCCCGTCGGGGCCAGAATCCTCGTGAGGGCTGTCGAATTTTAGCCCTCCCAGGAGTCCAAAAAGACCCCTCCAACGACCCGCGGAACGCCCTCTCCAGGCCCAGGGGGAGGGGGTAGGGGGAGGGGTAAACCCCTCCCCGAAAGGGAAGAAGGGGGTTGAGAACAGAGCGGACTCCCTAAACCACTCACGCCCAAAGGGCTGGTGGGATTGACGACAGATTCGTCGGCGAAGACAGACGTCTGAGCGAGGTCTGGGTCGGGTATTCCCTGGCGGTGCCCCCCTAGACTTCAGCGCGTCCCAGGCAGGGGTTGCTTCGCCCGTCCTGGCCACGGCAGTGCGTCGCCGTTCCAGAGTTGGTTACCAGGTGCCCGTCGTAAGTGGCAGCGATTTGGCGTCAGCGAAGATGTTGCCGGTGTGCGCAGGTAAGCTGGGGCTTGGTAGTCAGGGTCTCCGAGCTGTCCGAGATGTCGTCGGAGGGGGCGTCGATCGAGGGCCAAGTTGTCGTTGTAGGCTTGGTCGCCTGGCATTGTACCCTGGTGGGCCACGCGCCTGGAGAGCCTCTCGGCAGTTAGCCCCTCCTCTTCGTTGACAATGCAAGTGCGCGTGCCTTGTGGCGCGTGAGGGGGGCTACTTTGCGGCGCGCGCAGATAGCAGGTGCCAGAGTTGCCTTCGGCTGGGACCCACTGGCGTTTGGCAATGCCCTTATCCTTGGCTCGCATGCAGTTGCGCCATGCTGCGACGCGGGCGGCCTTGCCGCGTTGGCTGCACATTGGGTATTTGTTCGTGGCTGTTATCAAGTTACCCCGCTGGATGTCAGTGGGCAGCTCCTCGCGATCCCACGCGTGCGGGAATTCCGCATGGCTTGTCGGCCGACGCCGCTGCGCCGGCAGGTTCGCGGCCGCCCACTTGTGTGCTGGCTATGTTCCAAGTCTGGGCGTGACTGTTGCCATTCATGTTTCGGTAAACCTGGTGGCTTGCCAGGGTGGCTTAAATGCCCTCAAATTGTCGTCGCAGCTTGTCAACACACGGTTATGTCTCGGTCTGCTGCCCCGCAGCGCGGGGTGGTAAACGCTTCAATGAAACGCGGTGATGTTTGTCTCCCCGCGCGGTGGGGCGTCCAGGCTCAGCTCGTCATGGAAGGCCCGCGCGGCGTGGTTGGCCAATTCGGACAGCCTCAACAGTCTTGCCGAGATCCGCCGCGTCCATGCGCGCTTGGTCCATGTTGTCGACGCGGTCGCCTAAGGCTTGCTGTTCGTCCCAGTCGGTCGAAAGGTAAGCCAGCTCGAGCGGCGCCACGCTTTCCACCCGTCTCGGGTGTGCTTACGAGGCCAGGGCGCTGCTTGGCAGGAAGGTCGCGGAGCCGGGCGGAGTCAGCAGCGAGTTGTCTTCTTTCGTCGTTTGCAAATGTGTAGTCAGAAAGTGCCCGACCTGCACCAGGGGATCTGCGGTTCCAGCCAAGGTCCTGCCCATGAGTGCAGGGCGCCCCCCTGGGTAACCTTTGGCCACGCTTGGCCAGCCCAGCGACAGGACGCGGGCAAGGGGCGCCGACTCACTAATGTCGTCCGGGGCGTCGATGCGTACACATACGGCGCCTTTCCACTGTTTGCAGCGCCCCGTGCCTGGTGGATCAGGGGCTCGCTGTCCGAGTTTGATTCGCCGCATGCGGATGCGACGTCTTTGCCGTTCGTGACGGGGCAGAAGCCCAGACAGTGAAAGGCAATGCGCTGGACGCCTGTTTCTCGAGAAACAGCGAGGTTGCCAGAAGGGCAGCAACGGGGGCACTGTAGTGGTCACGGCGTTTGATGAGGACCTTCCAGTCACCATCAAGGCTGGCGACGTTAGCATTGATGAGGCGAGCCACATGGGGACCGTCTCAATCGGTGGAGCTGGGGTCACTCTAAGCATTGCAAATGCGCCAGCGACGTTTGGCAACGTACTTACCGAAGTCCACACGTGGCGAGTGTGGCAGTCGGCCCACGTCCCAGCTCTGGGTACTCGTAGGTCCCAATGTGGTCCACGACGTTGAAGAAGAAGGCACGGCTTTGGAAGGCTGGGATTCGCCTGCGATGGCGATGGGTTCCCTTGCATCCTGTCGCGTCGGCCCATCTTTAGCGACTCTCGCTGGCCAAGCTCGTTCGAAACACTACCGTGGCCCTCCAAGGCCCTTACATCCTTACCGCGCATCCTCATGATACGGGTTGATTGTACAGTCGGAGCAGATGATAAGCATGGGTAACCTTCCCAAGAGTACCCCTTGTATCCTTGCCTCTCTCATCCTTGACCAGGTTGCGATGCCAGCCAGCCCCGCTCGGGGGGCTTCGGCGTGGGCGTGCGAGGGGCTCGCATCCTCATCGCGCAGCCTTGCTGTTAATGCTGACCATGCCCTGTGTTTCTCTTTTCCACGGCGGCGGCTGGCGAATGTCTTCCCCTGACCTCTCCCACCCTTTCCACTGCGGAGTGCTCCCAGCCCCGAGGAAAGGGGAGGAGGAGGATGTGCCCGTGCCTCTCTGTGCACCCTCCACCCTCCTCGCCCTCCTTGCATCCCCTCCCTTCAGTATCGTTTAGCCGATCCCTAACCCCATCCTGATCCCGCCTGGCTCGCTCCGAGTTTCGTTCGCCTCCCCCCTTTCGCTTCGTTTCGAACAAATCGGTACGCTGATGCTGCTTCTGCGAGCAATAGCACTACTCTGCCCGGAAGGTACGAGCACGCGAAGAGGTGCATCGAGGCAGTGATGAACGTCTTGGTGATGAATTCCAGGCCTTCGCGACAGAGGATAAATTGGTGGCGGAGCAGGATTGGGAGGATAAAAATGGCGAAAGAGACAACGACGATGGGAAGGAGGAGGATACGGAGGGGAAGAAGGAGGAGAAGGGGGGGGATGACAAAGAGGGCCACCGAACCAGGAGGGCACCGGGGGAGGAAGGAGAAGGAGGAAAGGGGGTGGAGGAGATGGAGCGGGGCTTTGAGGATGCAGGTGACAATGCTGACGTTGATGATGCTGGTGATGATGATGATGATGATGATGATGATGATGATGATGATGATGATGCTGATGATGATGATGATGGTTATGCTTATGGTGATGCCCATGCTCAAGCTGATGCTGATACTGATGTTGATGGTTTCAATGGTAATGGTGATGGTGATGATGATGATGATGATGATGATGATGGCCATGCTGCTGCTGATGATGACAATGATTATGACGATGATGTTGATGCTGATGATGTAGATGATGCTGCTGCTGATGATGATTATACTGATGATACTGATGCTAATAATTATGATAATGATGATGATGATGATGATGATGATGATGATGATGATGATGCTGATGCTGATGATGATGATGATGATGATGATGATGATGATGATGATGATGATGATGATGCTGCTGATGATGATGATGATACTCATGCTCCTGCTCGTGCTCCTGACCATACTCATGCTCATGTCCATGCTCATGCTGATTATCATGGTGATACTGATGGTGGTGAGTATGATGACGATGATGGTAATGATGGTGATGACGATGCTAGTGGTCCTGATGTTGATGCTGATGATGTTGATGATGAGCATGATGCTGATGATGATGTTGATGATGTGGATGATGATGATGATGATGAAGATGGTGGTGATGGTGGTGATGGTGATTGTGATGGTGATGGAGACGGTGATGGTGCTATTGATGGTGGTGGTGGTGGTGATGACGATGGCGAGTGTGATGATGGTAACAGTGATGGTGATGGTGATGGTCATGGTGATGATGACGACGAGGAGGAGGAGGAAGAGGAGGAGGAGGAGTAGGAGGAAGAGGATGAGGAGAAGAAGAAACAGAGGATGATACACTGGTGGACGGGGCGAAGGAGAAAAAGGGGTAGGAAGGACAGGAGGGGGAGAAGGAAAGACAAGGCAGAACAGAAGTTTACCCTCCTTTGCCTCCTCTGGAACGCTCCGCCACGGATTTATCCTCGTCCTAGCCCCGGTCTCGTTGAAGGTCGAGGAAGCGCAAACATTTGCCCTCGGGGAACCGTGTCTTAAGGGATACGGATCAGGTCTTGAGGGATTCGGCTGCCCGGCACGGCACGACAGCTGATGCCTGCGGTGCCTGGTGGCGAGTCGGTCACGAGGCGTGCGCTGCCCATCCGCGCGTCGCGAGCATCGTGGTCGCATCATGGCGAACATAGCTTGGCGTTCTCGGCCAGTCCTTCCCTCCCTCTGTTCGCTTTTCGGTTGTTCGCCTCCGCCTTCCCGCTTTCCTCTCCTATTCTTGCATGCCGCCGCTTACTGTTCCGTGATAGCTGTCAGTTCCAACCCTTCAGCGCGCCACTGCGGTGTGGCTCTGCTTCTTCCCGGAGTGACGTAGATTTCGGTGCCCGCGACTGATCCCGTCCCGGCTGATACGTTTAAGTGGGATTTCGTATCGTTCGGCAGCTAGATTTATTTGTCGGTCTTGTAAGTTTACGTGGTCGGTCACGGAATTCGGGCTCTGATTTATAAATCGACATTGCTGACATATTCCCCAGACCTCGGTTGTGCGCAGCGGCTCGCCTATGGCTGGCTTGAGCGCTGCTCCAAGTGTGCTGGTTTGCTCCTCCGCCTCTTTCCTCCCCTTGTCTCCCTCCTCTCTCCTCCTCCTCCTCCTCCTCCTCCTCCTCCTTCTCCTCCTCCTCCTCCTCCTCCTCCTCCTCCTCGTCCTCCTGCTCCTCCTCATCCACGTCCACATTATTGCACTACGTTGTTTTTGATTTGTTTGCATGGCCGCTTGGGCTACGGGTATAACACAGGTTCTGTGTAGCCGTGGAGCCGATACGTTTCCAAAGGAAGTCGTATCATGGTTTATCTCTGCTCCTGCGCCCGAGTCCGGGGCCATTCGGGGACATGGCTCATTGCAGGCAGCGATGAGGTAGCAGACTTGGCAGTATCAATAGATCGTCTGGTGGTTGCGCCAGTCCCGCGGTGCAGATTTCAGTGCTTCGTTGTTCCTGAAAAATATACGGAGCAGGTTTTTCGCTGTTTTCGGGCCCTGGGGGCCCTCCACGGGCCCCAGGACCGTCCGAAACGACTAGGATGATGAACTCGTTCTGGCTGAAGGTCCCGGGTCCAGGACACGTTTCCCTCAGGACTCGTTTACCCCAGGATGGGCGAACACAATTCGGACGGGGCTAGGACGAGGGTAAATCCGTTGTGGAGCGTTCTGGAGCGCTCTCAGAGCGCTCTTGAACGCTCTGAAAAGGCCGCGGCGCCCGATGCATCTTCCAGAGCCGCCGGACCTCAGAGATTCTCGATTTATCCTCACCCGAGTTTGTCCCCGTCCTGGCTTCGTCTTAACAGCACAATCCACCCCCACCCTTGGGGGCCAAGAAAGCCCCCCCCACCCCCAGCCTGGATAACCTGGATCACCATGTCGGGTGTAGTGGTCCGGACTGGGGCTGGGTGTGGGTTGTGCTGTCCTCAATGGATTCCAAGAAAAAGAAACATATGAAGAAGGAACAACTGCATGATCATCAACTTTCGGAGCTCCGCGTGGATTTCTTGTATCTGCGCTGGGCTTCACCCGGCGGCGCCTCTGGCGCCGCCCCTGGCGCGCCAGGGAAGGGGGTCTGGCGCGGAGCCAGTAAATCCGCGCAGACCTCCTAGAGTGTATGTTTATGCAGTTTCTGGTTCCTCTATGGATTGAGGCGCGTGGATTCGCGCAGGTCCCGTTTCCGTGCGGCATTGGCGCGTTCCGTCGCTAAATCAGGGCAGTGGCCTCATGGTTCAGGGGGACCCCCCCCCAGATCTGTGGATTGCTCTCGCTTCGCGGGGTGCACGTCAGGAGTGTGTGGAGTATGTCATTTGCGCCCTCATGGGGGCCTGCTGGAGGCCTCATGGGGGGCATCCTGGGGCTGCTCAGGGGCTCGTTCGGGCCCCTGCTGTGGCTTTCTGAGGGCGTCTTGGGCCGTCCTTTCGCGCGCTTTCGAGCCGTCTGGCACCTTCGGATGCCGTCTTGGGGGGCCTCTCTGGGCCGTCTTGGTGCGCTTCTGGGGCCTCCAAAAGCCGTCCCGGGTGTCTCTTGGGCCGTCTTGGGGCCGAATTGTGCTATCTTGGGGTTGTCTTCGGCCCTCATGAATCACGCGGGGCTGTCTTGGGGCCCTCCTTGGAGGTTTCTTGCACAGGTTGGGGCTATCTTGGGGTGTTTGGAGGCCCACTTCGACCCTCAAGAAGCCCAAGAAGCCCAGATCAGGTAGTTCCTTGAGTAGTTGTACGTGTTTGAGCCCCAGAAGGGGTCCACCACCTTTGGTCCGCGGATGGGGCGTGGCTCCGGTGGGCGGGGGGTGGTAGGGGGTTCACATATAGAATGAAGCAAAAAACACGAAGTGATTGCTAATCAACACGTGTGACTGAACACGCTGCAGCTCAGCGCGTCACCTCGGGACATGGATCCGACGCCCACGCGTCAGATCCGCGAATCCGTTGTCCGTGTTCGCGTGCGCCCTGGCCCTGGATGTCTGCAAGTTCCTCCTCCCTCCGCCGCAGCTGGCGTCCGTGGCTGAGCCACCTGGGGGCGCCTTGGGCGAGGAGAACTTTGCACACACGCCGGTCCTGGCCAGGCCCATCCTGGGCCCAGGATCGGTGTGTATGTCTCCCTGGCCAAGCTACGACGGCGCATGCACCGATCCCGGGATCAGCACGGGCCTGGCCAGAATCTGTGCATGTGCATGGTCCTCTTGGCCGGCATCTGCGCATGTGGATCGTTCTCTTTCCTCTAGCGCCGGGGCGTCAGGGAGAAACGCACAGCAGGACTGCGGACGCTCGCGGGCCCGCCCGGCGGCGCTCGGGCCCCCGGCCTGCGCCCGACCTCGATCCTCAGCCTGGCTGGCCACGGCGAGTTTTGTGATCGTTTTTTATTCATTGTTTTGCCGATCGGCGCGGGGCCCCCCCCTTGAGTAGATCTTGGCTGTTTTCTGGCGCTTGTTTCGAGCAGGTGGAGTCTCCCCCGTGGGACGCACGGTTTCAAACAATCGCAGGAAGCAGAGGTCCGGAGCCAGACCCCCCCCCAAAACGCCGAATAAGAAAACGCTCATGGTCCGGAGCCTTTCCTGGCTCGAGTCGTTTTTTGGCTTCAGCAGCGCGTTTCCGAGCTCTGGCCGCCCGGGAAGGCCCCATGGCCGCTTTCCCAGAGTGTCCGTCCTTCGAGCAGGCGGTCCGCAGCTGCCGCGAGGTGAGCGACGTCATGGACGAGGTCTCGAGGCACTACGACGTGGACCTGTGCGTCCTGACCTGGAGGGACGCAGGCAGGCTGTGCTTCACGGCGGGCCCCACCGCCCGTGTGTCTCACGCCCCGCTCCCGCCCATGTGCGAGGAGTGCCCGTACCAGCTGTTCAACCACACGATCGGACGAGAGCTGCCCATCATCATCAGCGACGTCGAGCAGGACGACACGTACGGCAGGGTCGACCCAGCACCTTTTGCTACGTCCATCCGCTTCTATGCCGCGGCTCCCATCCTCTGCGCCCCTGGCGCCTACGCTGGCACGCTGTGCGTGGTGGATTCCAGGCGCCCGCGCGCCGACTTCTTATTGAGCGACGCCGCGTTCCTCAAGGAGAAGGCGGCGGAGCTCATGGAGTCCGTCAGGGACTTCATGAGCTAACGGCGTCAAGTGAGTGACGTCGCAGAGGCCCGCGCAGCCGGGTGCGCTGATCTTGCCGCTGTCGGCAAGGAGTCCGCGCGGCTCGATGCAAGCTCCGAGAATGCGGCACGACTCGACACTCCAG